CTAGACGGTGTGCACGGTCGATTTCCTTTGGGTCTACACTAGCGCCTAATTGATTGGGACAGATGTCAATAATTAATTGCTCCGACTGGGCGAAGCTTTCTTTTGTGATTGTTTCAGGAATACCATATAATTAGGTTATTTCGGGGCGAATGATTTTCCGCTTCATCTAGACGGGCTTCAATATCGCCAACTAAGCCAGCTGTTTGCGTACAGTCAGCCCTCAAGCTATCAATGTCGGTCTTGATTGACAGGAGGCTTTGGTAGTGGCTTTCCAAGTCAGTTAGGCGCTGGCTTACATTGCTTATCGCTTGTTCGGTAGATAATAGCTGATCTTTGAGGTTCTTTACCTCCAAGATTAGTTGAGACTGCCCGGTGGTTAGTTTTTGCAATTCAGACAATACGGCAGGTGTATCAGGACCAGGATTAGACTTGATATTTCCAGCAAGTAACAGTAAACATCGAATTGCGTGAGCGATTTCAACAGCAACAGCAAGACAACACCGTGGGCTCGGTAGCTGAACTAAAAATTAATTGCTCGTTCGTTTAGTAAATAGGGAGTATTGATTACACACCTGTGCGGCGAAGATGAAAGGATTAGTGGTCATCATTGTGGCACAGCCACCAAGCCCAAGAAATGTTGAGCGCGGGTGGCGTTCTTTTATAGGTGACTGAACGATGAGTGTTGATGACGATGGCACCTCCCAAGCAGGGCCGAGGGATGGATGCCCAACAGACAGCGCCGCCGGGAGCCAAACGCAGAGGAGCGGAATTCGGTGTCGCGTCCAGTGCGCAGTTGCGGACTCGTAGTGCGGGTCAGGCATGCATTTCCAAGAGATGACAAGACGATACAGGTGATTACGGGAGCGATCACCTGTGCGGCGAAGACGAAAGGATTAGTGGTCATCATTGTGGCACAGCCACCAAGCCCACCTGACTGGCGCTTCGAGTGACATAAAGAAAAGCACCGTCGTAAACTTTCCTTGCTGGCCAAATGATGACTTAGGGTGCGACATGACTGCCGACAACGCCGTACGGTGCCTCAGTGAATTCTGTGATTTATCAGTGAGCGATTTCATTGGTGCGTATGATGACGCAGCTCTTTGACTTCATTGATGCTGAGATGATGGCTTCCGTGGCTAGCACTGCAGAAGTGTACCATGCGGTTACGAACATGCGGACGCCTTCGCTGCCGCCACTAACCAACTTTTGAAGCGCTTCAAAGCTTGCATCCGCATTTCGTGTCAATCAACGCTGTTGTGGCCGAAGGAGCTGCATTCGCTTATTTGAAAAGCTTCAGTGATATTGAGGATGACTAAAACTTGACGGCACACAAGAAGCATAAGAAGTTTACAGGCTATTTTAATGCGAAAGAGAGTACGGCAACTTGTAGTTCACACCTTGTCCTTCCATTATACTGTGGGCGAATCGTTATGCTAGTACTTGTAATGATTTCCATGACCTTAAATGCTTTAATTCAGGCCTTCAATATGCACATTTTGTATTTTGAATCATAGATATATCAAACTATTTCACAGTCCCCTTCAACTTCGATACATCTGGGATCGACTGTAGAAGCAACACAGTGGCTCAAATGAAAAGCCCTCTACGATAGTGTAAGCATTAAGCAGCAACTGTGCCAAATTTTAACTTGACATTTGGACATTTGTGGGGGAGCTTTCACCTCCTGTAAAGTCGTTCGTGCCCTGTGATGCACCTGTGTCGTGCAGATAAAGCCGCATTAATGGTTAAAAGCTGTTGAGTGGTGGTGGAACAGTATCATCATCATCATGGTTAGCATCGTAGCACAAGCAGTGCTGTGGCAGCGAGGCCTGGCAGGCGCATTGGAAAAAGGAGAGAGTCTCTTTTTTTAGCGTTTGGCATGGATGGTCATCTCCTGCAGGGGACCACGAGATGCAGCGACTGTGGGTCGTGTCCCTTCGGGCGAGTCCGTCTTCAGCAACGCCCCCTTCGCATTACCTTGTGTTCGTGATTATATTCATATAGAAGAGTGGAATATTGTTAAGATTGTTTTAGCATGACAGTTACACTTTTTTGTTCTGCTCGTAACAATCGTCCCCGCAACAATATCGTCACTTCCAAGAATGTTGAATACAGTCAAACACACATATTGAACCCACATATATCGCATTTTTGAGTATATTGAGTTATCACCTTGAAATTCCTTTGTAAAAGCATAGAAATTCCCACATTTATATCTAATGGCATTTTTAACCGCCCTCGAATCTACCAAACGCTGCATGAGCTGGAAAGTGCGCTTTGGCACTCTCCGCGCCACGCATTCTCCGCGGCAGTGCAATTCCGCGCACGAGTTGGATGCTCTTTGGTACTTGCAGCGCCCAGCAACCTTTACGCAGCACCACGCCTCCACCAAAACCTGAAACACTCGAAAAAAAGGTAAGGACGAAAGAGGTCCGACTGCATGGTCTCCAACTTACAGTATGGCTTTTTTTTTTTTTTTCCTTCTCGTTTCTCTGTCTCTCATGCTTTTCCCGCGTACCCGTCGGCTCGGGGAGCAGGAATGAAGAAGCTTACGTTCTCCTCCTTTCGTCTTTTATTGTTTGTTCCTGTTTTGCAAGTTTTCATCAGCAAATCACAACTCACACCTTTTGCTCTTGCCCTTGCAGGTGGCCATCAATTTGCGGGCGCTTTGTTGGCGAAGTCCACTTTCATTGTTGCCTTGTCACATACCACCGCATGTGCAGCGTTTCTATTTTGCGTGCGTGGTGTGCAAAGCTGCAGCGAACTACTCGAATCGTCGACTTCTCGTGATGTATGGCCAGCGTCAAGAAGCGCAAAACCCTTGACTTTGTGACAATATTGAAGGTTATTCAGCGTGTTGAGGCGGCCGAGAAATGTTCCACCATCGAGAATAACTTTAGGATACCACGGAGCACTCAGAGTACCTTGCTGAAGAACAAGGCAGATATCAAGGCAAAGGTGGCAAAGCAATGAACGTCGGAGCCTGTCGTGTGCGCTGCCCAGTGGAATGTAGAGAAGGTATTCTATGCCTGGTGTGTAGAAGTGCGCGCGAAGAACGTCGTGGTGGACGGCCCGATGCTGATGGTCAAGATCAAATGGTTTGCCGCTGCACTCAGTGAAGACAACTTCGCCGACAACACCGGGCGGCTTCACAATTTAAGCAGTGCTACAACATGAAGGAGTGGCCGGAAATCTCCGCAACGTTTTCTCCCACAGATCTTGAATGCAGACGAGACCAGTCTCTTTTGGTAAATGTTGCCGAGCAAGACTCGACGTCCCCGGTAGCACGTGTCAGGAGGGCAAAATGAGTAAAGTTCGTGTAAACGTGTCACTGGCAGTCAACATGAATAAGTCTCGGAAGCTCCAGCCCATTGTGATTGAGAAAGCAAGAGCACGGCACTATTTCCAGAACTGTAAGCAATTCCCCGTCCACTACACTTCAAACAAAAAGGCGTGGATGACACTTCAGCTGTTTACAGAATGCCCACAAGCGTAGGACGTTGAGCTGGGCAAGTCGGGGCATTGCTCTTGCCTTCTTGTGGACGAATACTCGGTCTATAACACCACCTGCAAGCTCAAATACATAAAGCTGAAGTTTCTGCCAGCCAACCCGAGGGTGAAGGTGCAAGTGCTTGACCAGATCATCACCAAGTCTTTCAAGATGGGCTACAGGAGGCAATTCCTTGATAGGCTGCTGGTCAACCTCCGTATGGGCATTGAGCTGAAGGTTGACCTTCTTAGTGCTATACAAATTATGACGGGTGCCTGGTGAGACGTCAAGATGGCCACAGTGGTCAACTGCTTTTGCAAGGCAGACTCGGAGACGGCAGATCTTGCGGAAACCGGTGAAGACGACGACGAGTGCATAGACGACGCGTTTTGAGAGTTGTTTCGCTTCTCAGCAGCAGTTCAACACGAGGTGACTGTGGACGACTTCGTGGCCGACAGCTCGTGTCCAGGCTGACAGCTCAGTGGTGGCAGTGTTCCGCGTCATTCGCCATTGTATCCGGACTTAGAGGGAACTTGGCTGTCGCATCTGGACAGCCTTCATAAGATTGAGACTTGCGTTTTCAACTTCATTTCGATAACGAACAAGCAGGCCAAGAGCAGCGATTTTTTTTTACGCAAATAAAACATTCTATTGCGGCGTGTGTGCGGAATCAGTTGTCATTCTTGAATACACCTATTGTAGGTAATGGTCCACTACACGTAAGCTCTCAGGGCCCTTACTTTTTTTATATCGAATTTTTCATATAATAAACTGATTCGCAATCCCATTCAAGTTCTATATACTCATGTTCGACTGTAAATGCACACAATGTTTGGCTAGCGTTCAACTATCTCTGCTGTGCCCGATGTTCTGAGAGCATGGCGCCTTTTTTTAAGGGAGACCGCACACATTTATATGTATAGGTCAGTCATTAAAATGCTCTTTCAACTTGAGTAATTTTTGCAGCCCTGAAATGTGGCAGCAGCATTTTCCAATAAACCAGGTGAAACAATGGCATGGATAGTTCCTCAAAGCATCACAGTCACACTCTGCAATCCTCAATAATATTGGTAGAGCAAAAACATTGCAAGAAGAGATTCATGAAATGACATCCTTCAGTGCAATAATTACAGTATACTCTCATGAAACAAAACATGAAGGGACCAGAAAAATGTATTCTGTTTAGGCAGTCGTTCTGTTTGAGAGACCTCCGTTTACTGAGAGTCTACTGTGCTTATTTTCTTTGCCTAAAAGAAGTGTTACATCCAAATTTTACTCTGCAAAAGCTTAAACAAGTCTACAGCCACTAAATGCAGAATTCCAGCCCCTTATAGGTCCACAACTTTGTGGAATCACATTTCAATATGCCAAGTACATACCATGTCTAGCCATGTCTAGTATGGCAATTTTTTCTGCAAGGGTCGAACGTAGCAGCGTCCGGTATACCCCGAAATATGCTACCTCAAATCAATCAACCCCTCATGCTACAAGGTGCACTCCAACAACTCACTGTCGAAGCCCATAAAGTAGAGCCAGCGGAGGCGCTTTGTGTGCCGCGGGCTCTCCACGTGAGAGTCAAACTGGTCAGGCTCCTCAATCTCGATGTTGCACAGGCTGCAGCCATACACCCTCTTATCAACCTGCATAAAAAAAAATTGACAGACTTTAGTACTTGCATCAAGTCAGTATTTCACAAATAAAAAAAAAAACAACTTACGATCGAAGAAGCAGACATCTCCTAACACTAGCACGACAAGTGCTATTTGTGAGTTCCCCATCCCAAAAAAAAAGGTGCTTAAGTGGATACTGCACAAAAACAGTTAAAGATGATGGAAGCATCGAAAGTAAACTCAGACGACAAATATACAGTTTATGCTGCTGCACACCGGTGCAACTGTTGCTGTGGATCGAAGGCTGCACATCAACAAGCGTCGCTTTTCATCCCCCCACTGCTTCTGTTTCTTTCTTTTCGCCTTCCAGAAAGGCCCGCGAGCTGTTCACAAATCAGATGTTTTGCCTCATCTGAGTAAATGCAATGAGTAGCTTCTCACTGTTTGGCAGAACCTGCTTGTCAAGGCCTTAATCCTGTGACACTAGAGACCTTTGCTGTGCTGTAGTCAATATTGCCACGTTCTTGTTTCTCAAGTTTTGTATCGCCCCAAAACATTACACAATTCTCACCGCAAACCGCGCCTGCAGTTTTCGAGAAGCTTCAGGACTGTAGTAGATCATAATAGTAAATCATAGTAGTTCGATAAGATCACGCCCAATTTGCGAACTGTACAGATTATTCTAGAACCTACGCCACCGCCAGCGATATCGCTAGAACATTCGATGACAAGAGTATAAATCCCGACGCACTTCGCCGCTTGCCAGTAGTTGATCGACAGCCGACGCTCCATTCGCCGCTATCAGTCCAAGACTGCTACTGTAGTCCGACTTTCCGTTTACTGGGCACAGGTTCGCCCAAATAAACAATTTATTATTCGACTCGCAGTGTGCTCCATTCGTCCACGTCTCGACCCCGTGACATCTGGTGGAGGTGCTTTTTCTTCCACGTACCAGACGCCTCCGTCAAGCTGTGAACCCAGCCCACGCCGTGAAGACACTGACGCCAGCAACGAGTAGAGAGTTAGCCGCAGGAAAAAAGGTCTGCCACCATAGTACGGGCTTTCACTGGACAAGGCTCAGAAAACCAAGACGTTGACGTCGACCACGGCCACCATGTCAGCGCCTGTTCCACCTGCACCACTCCTGCTCCGGCAACCCAAAGAGCCGCCAACTTTCCGCGGTTCACCGTTGGCAGACCCGGAAAGCTGGATCGAAAGGTTCGACCACGTCGCCGCCTTCAATGACTGGACAGACAAAGACAAGCTACGGCATGTGTATTTCGCCTTAGAAGATGCTGCTCGGACCTGGTTCGAGAATCGAGAGCGAAGCCTTACAACGTGGGACGTCTTTCGCGCCAGGTTCCTCCCCACTTTCGCAAGTGTGGTCCGCAAGGAGAAAGCTGCAGCTCTCCTCGAAACCCGCATGCAGATGCCAAATGAAAATGCGGCGCTTTTCACGGAAGATATGATTAAACTCTTCCGCCACGCTGACTCCGACATGTCCAAAGAGAAGAAGGTCCGTCTGCTCATGCGAGGAGTAAAGCAGGAACTCTTCGCCGGGCCGATCAGAAACCCGCCAAAGACGCTCGCCGAATTCATTTCAGAAGCATCTACGACAGAGAAGACACTCGAGATGCGCTCGTGGCAATATAACCGTAGCTTCTCGTCTACAACCAATGCCGGCATTGAAGCGCTAAGAACCACTGGCTTGCGTGAGACATTCGAGCGATTGTGCAAGAAGAGCCGCGAAAATTACTTCCTTCAGCGCAGCCTCACGTGGAATCCATCGCGGACGTCGTACGCCAGGAGATCTAGCAATCGCTGGGAGTTCCCCATCCTCAAGAGCCCCAGCTGCAAGTCATGAGCTATGCTGCTGCAGCCCGCCGCGACGCCCCTCCTCCATGCGCACACCAGAACGCCACCCCATTGCACTTCCATCGCCAGAAACCGCCTCCGCCACCGCCCCCACCGACGTCCTACCGATCGCCAGCGGGCCAGCGCAGTGCGCCGAGGAAAACCGACGTTTGGCGTGCACCTGACAACCGCCCGCTCTGCTACCACTGTGGCGAGGCCGGGCACACGTACCGCCGTTGCCAGTATCGACAGATGGGACTGCGTGGCTTCGTCGTCAATGCACCACGTCTGCAGCCAGGGGAACGGCCACGTGACATCGCCGACTACCTGACAGGTTCGCCGTCGCCCAGCCGCCACGTCACCGCACCACCAGTAGTACTCTGGCCCAACGCGGGGTCGGTTTCCTAGCACGTATCCGGGAAACTAAGGGCAGCAAGATGGAGGTGTGGTTGCTGTGCGACGAACTACCGAAGATCCTCCGATGAGGACGCCGCTGCGACGAAGCTTTCCGAACACAACGCCAACCAGGCAAAGTCCTGACGGCGAAACCTCCCATACCGAAGGTAACCTGACGATGCAACATCGAAGCAGCGAACAAGCCGACGCAGCCGTGACACGACGCCACGCCCTAACTGTAACGCGAGACAGCGAACTAGCGACCTCGACGTTCTTATCGATGGCCACAGTGTGACCGCTCTCGTCGATACTGGAGCCGTCTATTTCCGTCATCAGTGGGCCGTTCGCCGCAAAATTGAAGAAAGTTAGGACAGCTTGGGAAGGCCCCGAAATCTGCACAGCCGGAGGTCATCTCGTAACACCTGCAGGAATCTGCACAGCGAGAGTCACCATTAACGGCCTTATCTATCCTGCAGACTTCGTAGTCCTACAGTGTTGCTCGAGAGATGTCGTCCTTGGCATGGACTTCTTATGCCGCCATCACCGCAACTGTCGAGGGGCGCGGCCGGCGCGCTCTCTACCTAAGTCACCTGACTTGGAAGGCGTCGTTGAAGGCAGGACTTGGAAGGCGTCGTTGAAGGCAGTCAGCATCTGTTGGTCACCCGCAATATTTGCGTCGCAAGAGGAATTGCAGAGCTGAGGGGATGCAAAGCAACGGTTATGCTCACAAATTTCAGCAATAAATACAAACACATGAACAAAGGAACGACGGTCGCATACATAGAAGAAATCGTTAAAGCCAGCAGTGCTTTTGCCCTCGCCGATTCTGCGGAACCTGCTCAGAGAAACCAAGCCCCTCCCTCCCTCAGCTTTCGCCGTCAATCCCAGCCTTCCGAACCATAAGCAAGACCAGCTCCGAGACAGAAATACACACTGACGCAAGCAACGTAGGTCTCGGCGCCATTCTTGTGCAGACGGCCGACGGACTTGAAAGGGTTATTAGTTACGCCAGCTGATCACTATCCAAAGCAGAAGTCAATTATTCCACAACAGAAAAGGAGTGCCTCGCCATCATCTGGGTTACGTCGAAATTTCCCCCCTGCCTCTACAGCAGGCCCTTCAAAGTTGTGAGCAACCACCACGCCTTGTGTTGGCTAGCCACTTTGAAGGACCCTTCAGGTCGCCTCGCACGATGGAGCCTGAGACTTCAAGCATATCACATTACCGATGTTTACAAGTCCGGCAAGAAACACTTCGATGCCGACTGTCTGTCTCGTGCGCCTGTCGACCACCCATTGCCCGACGACCCGGATGACGACTACTTCTTGGGAACTGCCGACGACTTTGCTGAACGACAGCGGGCCGACCCGGAACTTAAGGCCCTATAGAATACCTCGAAGGCAGGACCGCCGAAGTCCCAAAGGTATTCAAGCGCGCACTTGCGACGTTCTTCCTTCGAAACAGTCTGCTCCAAAACAAACTTTTCACCGCTTCGAGCCAAGTACCTCCTTGTGACGCCTTCAGCTCTGCGACCAGAACTCCTGCAGGCCCTGCACGATGATCCGACGACAGGACACCTCGGTGTTTCCCGCACGCTCACGAGGATACAAGAAAGGTACTACTGGCCACGTCTTACCACCGACGTCACTCGTTATGTGAGGACATGCCGGGACTGTCAGCGACGCAAGACACCGCCGACAAGGCCAGAGGGACTTCCACAGCCAATTGAACCACCTCACCGACCATTCCAGCAGATTGGTATGAACCTGCTGGGGCCGTTCGCGACGTCGGCTTTCGGAAAGAAGTGGATTGTGGTAGCTACCGACTATCTCACCCGCTACGCTAGAGACAAAAGCCCTGCCCAAAGGCAGTGCATCCGAGGAAGCTAAGTTCTTCGTCGAAAATATTGTTTTACGTCACGGCGCTCTGGAGGTCCTCTTCACCGACAGACGAACGGCATTTACTGCTGACCTAACTCAAGCGATGTTGGCATACAGCCAGACAAACCACCGCCGAACGACAGCGTACCACACACAGACCAACGGCCTCACCGAGCGGCTAAACAAGACGATCGCCGGAAGACAGCGTACCACACACAGACCAACGGCCTCACCGAGCAGCTAAACAAGAAGATCGCCGACATGCTGGCAATGTACGTCGATGTCAAACACAAGACATGGGACGCCATTCTTCTGTACGTGACCTTCGCATACAACACAGCGGTGCAAGAGACAACGCAGATATCTCCATACAAGTATGTCCACGGAAGGAGCCCGGCAACAACATCGATGCCATGTTACCCAACGTCACCGACGAAGAAAACCTCGATGTTAATGAATACCTTCAGCGCGCCGAAGAAGCACAACAACTTGGGCGCCTCCCTATCAGGAACCAACAGACGACCGACAGCCGCCGTGACAATCTTCGACGACACTTCGTGGAATACCAACACGGTGAACGTGTTTGGGTGTGGACGCCGATACGCCGACGGGGACTCAGTGAAAAGCTTCTGCGACGGTACTTCGGACCATACAGCGTAGTTCGACATCTCGGCCCACTCAATTACGAGGTTGTTCCCGACGGCATCACGAACTCTCAACGACGCCGCTCGCGACCTGAAGCTGTCCATGGCGCGCGCCTCAAGACTTTTTATTCGTATTTTATTTATTTTATTTCTTTTATTTAATACATACTGCAGACCCTTAGGTCCAAGCAGGTGGGCAGTTACAAGGGGACATGGTCGAAACAATAAGTGGCATAAATATTTTTCGGGGTGAGCG